TTGTTGTTGTTGTTGTTGTTGTTGTTGTTGTTGTTGTTGTTGTTGTTTATATGTTTCCCGTTGGAACAGGATGGAACAACTATCCCTCGCACATTCCCAACCACCCAGCAAGTTGATGAAGGATTTGCTGCTTGTTTTCTTTGGCCGAAAGTTTGAACATGTGTTTGCTTCTATTGTGAAGTTTTGGGATATTTGAACTCCAATGTAGATTCATTGAGACCCGCAACTTGGAAATCAAGTCTGACATGTTGGAGGACTGGAGTTTCATCCTTTGACGGTTCATCGGACGATGACAGACGACAGACGTTTAAAATAAGTTTAAACATGTTTAGACTAGCTACAAGTACAGATAATCACATGTTGTTTTATTATGTACTATGCTGCATGCTCTAAGTGTTTGTGTAAACCTATAGCATAAACACTTCATGTCACCGGAAATGGCGCGCAAGCCACTTGCGCAAAGTACAACATACAAGCAGCTCCTTAAGACCCTTCGATCCAAACAAAGGTTTTGATCAACACTCAGTAGGCATGGCTTTCTCCTTTGACCGCGTTCAGTCGTGACGAGTGGCGATTCACCAATGGGCACTGGAACCTGTGACGAAGCAAAAGGGCACTTGAAGGAAGGCATGTGACTGAGATGGTCATTGGAAAGCCGCGACAGTACCAGCCCTGTCATGAGGCGGAATACGGCGTAGACCCCAAGAAAGTACATTTCTCATTTTCTTGCAAGTGACCTTTTCGGAGTCCCTAAGATACCATTTACAGGCCTAAGTGACCTCAAACCTCAAACCAGGGGATCAAGTTCGGTCACTTGGAAGAACCCGGTCCAGAGAGGGAACATATATTGAAAGAGACCAGGTACATTCAGGTACCCTAAGAACCGATCCACAAAAATGGCTCAACATTTCATCGTCAGTGAATGGCATGACCAGGAAGAGGACAAACTCTTCGAGAACTATGTGAGTGTGGTCCATGCTTCCTGATATCGTCAGATCATGGTACATCCCTTTTGGTACCAGTATCCACATAATTAATAATATACACTCCCTGGAACAATCATGGAAGCGGAAAATGGCTCCTTGAATGACAATTTTCCTCTACAAACAGAAGAAAATTTCCACTTCCATGTTGGTTTCAGAGAGCGTACATACCTTCAGCACCAAAATCTGTTATTTTAAAAAGGTGTGAACACAAAAAGGTATATGATAAATAACGGTTCTTGTTGCTTAAGGTATTTGCAGTATATACCAGCAGGATATCCTGTATCTTCCGAACTCCCTCGTTCTTTGCTCCCGCCGCTCCATCCAGGCGCTCCACGCGATCTCTTCGTGGAGCCACTGAGCGCACGAGGACACTCTTCGTGCGATCCCGGGTCGGTCTCACCGTGAGCCGAGAACGTCTGGTGAGACGAAACAGCCGACAAAAAACAACGTGTTGGGCCTAGCCATGTCATTGCTTTGCCCCAAGGGATGCCAAGGCTTTGCCACCGGACGACGTGGTTTCGGCTCGAAAGCAAAGCGAAGCGACCGATGTCGAACGACACCGGTGTCGTTTGCCCGGCACAACTGGCGAGCGAAATCAGCGGGATGTAGGCAAAGTATATCCACACCCATGCGGGTTAGGCCGCTCCTAGGTCCTTAAGCTAGGACGGATAGCTTACGCTTCTTAGAAGCTCCCCCAACCTGGAGATGTTTGTAGGGAAACTTATGGGTGACTCCGATGACTCCTTGACGGTGCTTGGCTTTTCGGATCCCCTCTTTTTTTGGAGACACTCACGAGAGGAACATGCAGAAGTTGAGAGCGGTTGAAAAGGACGGTCAGATCCCTTATAATGGAAGAGCGTTCAGAGGTTGCTGGTAGTCAAGAATGGGGGCCTGAAGATGGAGCCCTAGGTGTTATGGTTCTCCAGGCTTGTGTTTACTTGTTTGTACAGAGGCGTTGCACGCTTTCTGTTTTTGTTCTATTGCAGTTGATTCAGTTGAGATTCAGATTATTGCATATTACTGCATTTATTTGTGCAAACCCATGTTTCAGGCTTATTTGGGAAGATGTCAAATCCTATTCAACAAGCCCGCTGAGCATATATCTCAAAGTGATTGATATACTGTGAAATATATATATATATATACATATCTATCTATTCATATATCGAGTTCAAAAAGTTCTGATAGTCCTGCAATACCTTAGTCGGATAGTATCCAATGGTGTATGCAAGTGGATCAAGTGGTTCTTTCGTCAAGGGTTCTTAGAGACATTCATGTCCAGCCCATCTAGAATCTGAGACATTGGAAGCTCATGACCGCTCTGTTTCAGAGCTGTTGCCAGAAGCCGTCACCTCACGGGTGCACGTGCATGCATGTGACGATGTGATGCCGAAGCGAAGGTATACGGGTCATCCTTTTAAAACAAGAGGGGGGCAGGTCCATGGATCCCCATAGAGCGCCAGGTGTTCTATGGTTTTTCTCATGATTTCGGAGAGTGTGTCCAAACAGCCCAATTGGTATCCTCCATTTGTTTTCTTGCATCAATGTGTTGGACCTGTTGAGCAACTCGTGGACGCATGGACCTCCCCGGGCGAGCGCCCTGGAGAATCACTGCGGGGATGACGCGCTGCTCTACAATACCTTGACATGAAAAAGAGGCGCCGCGACGTTGTGTTGATAGCAGGACCACGCGCAAGAATTGGGAAGGATCTCCAAATGGGCAAAAGGCTGTGTAGGGCTTTTGTAGAGTATAGTCCGAAGGCATTCAATGCTTTGAAAGGTGTTTTGATTGACATGGAGTGGTTGGCACTGGCCAAGAAGCTATGAAGGTGTCCACTAGTCCAGCACGGCCACCAGAAAGCAGCATGACTTTCTGGCTGGATGCTTGAAAAAACAGGCTTAGAACAATGGTGTGGCACAAAACTCGCAACGGGTCGACGGGTCGGCCGACCATCGCGACGGGTCGGTCCACATCCGACAACACCGAGGTGAGCTTCATTGAGCAGATTTTGGTAAAAGATCCAAGTTGCAGGCCGAAAGCCAAGGAACTTCTCAGTGTCTTGGCAGCCATTTTGTTAGGTTTCTACAGCTGAAGTCTCCTGGTACTACACTTACTGGGAACATTAGGGGACAAGTGAGGAGAAATCTAGATAGTAACAGAACATAGCAGAACCTTTCCATACCAGATACAATAAGTATAGTTTTGTCATGTTTTGTCTATGTTCAATGATATTATATAGTCGTTCCTCATGGATTCACATATCCTTTGAGAAGGTGATCGGAGACGCTTGTACATAGGCACGGAAAGTCCAGTCATACCTTCTGGAAAGGTCTGGACAGGTATGTGGATGCCTATAGGGTTTGTATGCATTGCAGAAGTCGTCTTAATCTTTTGTGTCCCCGTGTGCATTAGTTTCAATATTATGTGTTAGGTACTATCATTCATATCGTGCTATCATATCTGACAACAAGTCTTTGTGTGCAATATGCGAGTGAGCATGAGTTAGAGCATCTTGGACTAGGGATTGGAAGCAATGGGAGGGAAGGGTGTCCAACCAGTTTGTTTAGTTCAAATGATTCATATGATTCATGTGTCATGAGTCATGTTATATATTGTGGGAAGCAAATCATTTTGTTTGATGGAGCTTGGTGGGACAGCACATGTTGGAGTTGTGAATTTGGTGCGGTTGCAGGTCCATACACTATGCCCTATGTGTTCAGTGCGCCAACACCCAAACTCAAGGTTGCATCCCCAGGACGCTTGGGAGGAAGGCTTATACTATACCGACAACCCCCCATGGCTTGAGGATTTGCATCTGCACCTTCCGACGCTTCGGTCGGATAATTCACCAATGGAGTGGACGATTTGGCTCGGTCCAAAGCCTCAGAAAAAGCCTCGCGCACGCCTATTGGGTGAAGCTTCCAGCTTCCAATCGAATCCCTAGATCGGACGACGGATCCTGCTCTGCTCCGATTCGTCCCAAGTGGTCCACCCCCGCTGGTGCCTGCGTGCTGCGAGGCGATGGCTGGTGCTGCGAGGCCAAGCAGGCGACCTTGCAAGGAAGGCACGCGCGAAAGGCGGGCTTTCTGGGGGGTGGTTGGGGGTGGAACTGTGGTGGGGTGTTTTTGCACCAGTGGGTTGATCCGTCTTTTTTTCTTTTTTGTGTGTGTGTTTTTCTCTTCATGGATGTTGGGAAGGTCCTACAGGAGCCCCCCTGAAAGCAAGGTTTAACAGACGGGCTAAATGTCGTTACAGCTCCAGGTGTGAAAGGTCGTTACATGTCGTTACACTTCCAGCAACTAACGAGACACTTGCGACATTGCCCCCCTTTTTGCTGGGAGATCAAGTCAAATGGAGACCAATCCGTATTTCAGTGGTAATCCATTTCCTCGCAACCATTTCATACTCCGATTGATATATGTGGACCGACCACGGACCAACTGGACGCCCGAGCGAAACACTGGGGGGGAGGAGGGGCGGCCCAATTACTGCTGGTGAGTTTGGGTGTGGGAAACCGGGAGACTTGGAGAATGACCACAGAAACATTAAATGTTATGTCCGTTCCTTCTAGTGTTGTAAGGTTTAACAACCGAGTCACGCCAGCAATAGTTTTCGACATCAAGATCACTTGGTCGTTCCTGTTCTTTTGCTTCCACCAATATGACCATTTGGATCCATTGGTGACAAAGACAAGGCCCTATGCTTAAAATTTATTGGCTATAGTGGCACTCCAAGCAGGGATCACTCAGATTACCGACCACCTTCCGACCTTCCGACGAGGCCCGCAAAAGCATCGTGAGCTTCGCGCAGATGAGCCATTTCTCCAAGGCGAGCTGCCCTGATTCAATGGCCACGGGAGACTCGGGACGTGAAACCAAAAGGCGTCAGCCCACTTCATCCATATATGGACAAAGCGATACGTAATCACTTAGAACTTAGAACAACAACATATCACGGTGGGTGCACCATTTTGCCACTGTGCTTTGCTGCACCCTGATCGGTCCGACTTGTCCATCATGTAGCAAACCAGTGATCATCTGCTATAGACTGTACTGTTTCGATGTTTAGACCGTGTTGTTTTCGGTGCGAAGCCAGTGGAAGTGTTGGTGAAGTGTTGCAAGTCACAGATGGCACCCCCTGAAATAGCCTCCGGCCTTGCTCCAGGCTGCTTTGAATTGCATGGCGGCGCAATTGGATACTCACAAGATCGAGGCTTGCCATCGATGGCCAGTTGCAATCATGGCCTTACAGCAAACGTAGTCACCCAAAGCCTTGGTTAAATAAAGCATTGGGCACTTTTGCATCCCAATCTCAGGTCCCCGAAGCTTATAGTGATATACTCATGTCTGCTCATGCAAGGTCACCTGGCCTGTACTCTCACCTATCCCTAAAGGCTTCAACCCCACCCCACCCCATACGTCCCACCCGACTTGCCATCCGTCCCATCCGTACCGGACCGCCCCACCGTTCCACCGACCGCAGCACACGGCAGAACCTGGCGGACGCCTTCGCCTCTCTGGACCTGGACCACGACGGGAAGCTCTCGGTCCGGGCGGACGATCGGCCACTCGCGAGCTGTTTTGGTTTGGTTTATGTTTGTTTATAGAACTTGACAAGGGCAGTGAACGGCGTTTGGTTTGGTTTCAAGTCCGTGTTTGACACTGCATTTTGTTGATATGTTGACTATAAATGTGGACCGGGGTGGGAGCAATTCCACATGGGATAGTCAGCAATCCCTATCGATTCATCATGGATTTGATATTGGCATACATAACCCAAAGACCCCATTTGCAGGCACAACATGACCGACATGTTTTTATAAAAGCAATCCTGTTTGTGTTCCAAGCAATGGTTTGCTCTGTCGGTAACTATATTGATCACTTGACGACTAACTAAAAAAATACTCTCCACCTTCCCAACACTTGCTCATTTATCTCAATCTTGCTCACCCGGCCTCATCCAAGTGGGGGCGCCAGGCGCCATCCAGGCCCCGTCCCACCCACCGCTGCCGCTGCAGACTTCGGAGTTCGCCGACGGCTTGGCTGAGATGGGCGTGGAACTGGCACCCCGGCCGACCGACCGGTGGACCGGTGGGCATGAGGCACGGAGTTGGGATTGTCATTGGGAAATGTCCGGGCTTGATTGGAAGGAGCGTAAGGAAGATCTGGACATTTAAAGAATTAATATCCTCTAGCAATGGATTCGATTGATTGGTATTTGTTTGAATTAAGGGGAATCTGTTGGTTCTGAGGAGATCTTTGTTGCAGAAGGTCAGAAGGTTTGAATAGAAGCACCACAACATCACGTATATATGATTTTGGGCTGCCAATAATTTCAATGTTCAATCACATTAAGAGGAGATGAGAGGAGTTGTCCTTAGTGGGCCGCCTCGGCCGCAGATCGGGTTGTCCTTAGCTTCGAGATGAAGGACTGAAGG